TTCTCCTCTAACCGAAAAACAAAAAAATCACGTCCCAATTTTTTATACAGCATAAACAATACAATACAATAAACAATACAGCATAAAATCAAGAGTCTATTTATTGAAACTTAAGATGAAAAATAAAACGATCAGATTTAATCCTTAAACGTTGACCAAAGATGAGAAATACAATGAATAATTCTAGAAAAAAAAACGGTTTATATTTAAATTATGATATAATAAATATTAATTTATCACATCAAATGTAGAATATATTAGTAGACAAGTTACTTAGTAGCAATAGAAATAGTCGATTGTTGTAGATTACTTAGTTTTAACAAATGATATTTTGCTGTTAAAACAAAGCTGTATAAAGGGCTATTGATACTGTGCTTATTGCAGGGATCAAACCTTCGATTGTAACGTTATAACTCCTCAAGCTTACTCGAGTCACCTGATATATATATATATATATATTGGACTTCAAAACAGTTACTTCATACACCTTCACTAAACATCTCACTGACATTCTAATTGAATATGAGCGTATGTGCGTATATAAATTAATTCACAAATTATTAACGGGGGATCAGCAAACAGATTTGAAACGGTCTCTACGATTGCAGTAATTTTTATGTTTAAAACACGTAAGCAGGTTCTTAAACCACATGTACTCTGAGTTTCTTCGTGGATCCGCTAGAATTCGCTCATGTCACTTTTTTTTCTAACAAACAATATTTTGGTTTGCTCCACAGTCGACATACTCATTGTAACTTGTAGATTGCAAACACCGTAAGATAGAACTCAGTGTATAGTGATTATACTAGTAAGTGGTAATAATCAAAACAAGTTTATTATTGACATGTTCGATACGAATTTACTTAAGTGTTCAGAGTCAGTTTCCTTCACTACACCCCCTGATGGTTCAGTCTGAGGGCATATAATGATACTCGTGATGGAAGTCTGACGGCATGTAATGATACCCGTGATGGAAGTTTGACGGCATGTAATGATACCCGTGGTGGAAGTTTGACGGCATTTAATGATACCCGTGATGGAAGTCTGAGGGCATATAATGATACCTGTGATGGAAGTCTGACGGCATGTAATGATACCCGTGATGGAGGCCTGACGGCATATAATGATACCCGTGATGGAGGTCTGACGGCATATAATGATACCCGTGATGGAAGTCTGACGGCATATAATGATACCCGTGATGGAAGTTTGACGGCATGTAATGATACCCGTGATGGAAGTCTGACGGCATATAATGATACCCGTGATGGAAGTCTGACGGCATATAATGATACCCGTGATGGAAGTCTGACGGCATATAATGATACCCGTGATGGACACAGGACGCATAGTCCATTTGTATACTAGCTTTCTGCTGAACAACAAAAAAGAAGATAATAATTATTATTTTACTACGATGCCGATATATTTTTAACCACAAAACGAACATAAGTAATGTATTCCAAGTTTTGTCCGCACCGTTCACAGTTTGTTTAACTTTTTTGTTCTGTGTGGTTCTCGTAAAATTAAGTTAGTTATTTTCGTTTGCTTTGCTGCAATATGCAAAGAGAAAAAGATTTTATCCATGTTCTAGTTTCAATAATACTAATAAATATTATTTTAGTGAAAATGCTGAAAACAGAAGTTGATGCTGTGCACTCAGAGGAATATATTTGTGAGATAACTTTGAACTATCTACTATCCAAAATTTGCAAATCTAAGAATTCACTCTGAATATTCTTTACTTGTGAACTTTAAGCAAAAATGTAGTTGTTTACATAGGTATTTTTATCATTAACTTAGTATTGTGGTTTGATGAATTATACTTTGGTAAATGTTTCTTATTTATTTAAATATTTTTAACGTTTGGACTTTATTTTCAAATAACATAAAAATAAAACGTTATTTACAAAAGATAGAACTTCTATAACTAGGTATAGCCGGAAGAGTTAGTTATTTACGTTACTTATATAGAACTTTTATAACTAGGCACAGCTGTAACAGTTAGTTATTTACGTCACTTATATAGAACTTTTATAACTAGGTACAGCCGGAAAAGTTAGTTATTTACGTCATTTATATAGAACTTTTATAACTAGGTACAGCCGGAAAAGTTAGTTATTTACGTCATTTATATAGAACTTTTATAACTAGGTACAGCCGGAAGAGTTAGTTATTTACTTCACTTATATAGAACTTTTATAACTAGGTACAGCCGGAAAAGTTAGTTATTTACGTCATTTATATAGAACTTTTATAACTAGGTACAGCCGGAAGAGTTACTTATTTACGTCACTTATACATCATTTTTTAAACAATTTTTGTTTGTTTATTTTAGTGTAAAACTATTCACAGTATTTTCACTCTGTCCACAGAGGAAAATCGAACCCCATATTTTAGCATTAACTTACCGCTGACCCACTGATGGGGTGGGGACAACTTAAACAACCAAGACACGATAAAGTAAACAATGCCTATTTCGGTAAAGAATTCCCTAGTGCACAGCAAAATGGTTTATCAGTATATATATTTTTTTAAATGGTAAAGGCAATTTAGCTTTTCAATAAAGAGATAACAACGCAAACTGATCTTAAAACTATGCTTAACTGATATTTCAGGTTCAACAAAAGTCAAATAAAAACTCAAAACCATTCTTTTTTTATATTTGCCACTTTATCCTATGTGGCCCATACTCTCTCGGGATAGATTTCTAATTATTTCGCCCAATCCTGGTAAAATTCATACCTTTCGTTCCGTTCAGATACTAAAGTTTAACGATTCACATAAACGCAATTGTTAGCGCTATTCATTATGACTAATTCCCTGCGTAAACTAATACCGTTGTCTTATGCCACTTCGCTTTAATCCTTCACAAAAGTTGCATATTCGAATATGATCAAACTTAATGTAAAACCGATTTTAAAATGATATTAGTCAGTCATTCCATATTTAAAAGTTCAAACGAATAGCTAGTAGCTTAGATATTCTGGGTTACGACTACCAGTAAGCGTCTCTAATAAAAACTATGTAAGCGATATTCGAAGTAGCTAAGCTATAAAATAAAAAGGGCACTGTCCTTTGAAATGGAGGCTGTCTAAAATGAATGTCTTTGCTCAAAATTCAATATTTTCTTTTGTGTAAATTGTAACTACCTCAGTTCTTTCTCATATACAGAACACTCATCTGGAAATAAAAAAATTAACTATTTACTAGCTATATTTGAAATATTTTCAAATATTGGTGTAGTTTATTTGAGTGGTAATAGCCATATTATAGCATTAGAAGGTAAAGAACGAAATATATAACAAAACATACTGATTTTATTTTTTGTTTTTGTCAATACAATATTCAAGATTTAAGGTTATAACTAAGAAAAATGAAAACTGGCACGTTCAGAGCCATTTCTGTGTGAATTGGGAATCAACATAAATAGTAAAAAAATTAAACTCCTAAACTTTAATTATGAATCATTGCAGAACATTAAAGTTTTAATTGGTCTAGAGAACAATCCTTATTATACATCAGGCGAATTATTAATTACTTTGCAAAGGTATAAAAAACTGAAGTAGTTCGAAAATACTTTTTACATCTCACGCTGAAAATTAACTTATTATCTAACTAAAAACAGGAGTTAATACAAACCTTTTAAATCTAAATGTAGTAGAATAATCGAATAGTGTATATAACCTGTAGTGAATATAGAAACGTTTGGTAAAAAAGTTTGATCGAATTTTTTAAAGCAGTAAAAACTTTATGATTATGTCGACATAACGATCTGTTTACGAGGTAATTTGATCATAACAATAAAAAGACTGTGACGCTGGCAACCATATGTTCCAATCACTCACCACGAAGAACTGAAGTTCCCCTACTGTGGAGAAATTCATTATAATATATCGTTCGATATTTCAAGAATATTCGTTCACGTATGGCTGTGTGTTCCTGAATACATTAAAACATTTCAGAAAACTAGGTCAAAA